CCTGCCGTTCGGCCATCAATAATTTTAGTTTGGGGGTCAAAAAAAGCGAAAATTTAAAGTCCTGCAAATTTCAAAGCAATACGTATAACAATGCCTTTAACCAAATAACAGGCTAAAATCAGAACTAAAGGTGACAAATCAAGACCACCAAGGTTGGGGAGAATCCGTCGCAAAGGCGCCAAAAGCGGTTCTGTAATACGGTACAAGAACTCACCAACGATTGCGACAAAACGATTGTAGCTATTTACAATCCCAAAAGAGACAAGCCAACTTAGAATCACACTGATAATAAGCGCCATCACGTAAAGATCAATAACAGTTGTTAAAAGATTTAAAAGTGGAACAATGACGACATCCATGAAGATATCCTTTCTCAAATTTTCTATTTTAGAGATTGTACCCTAACTTGTCTTCCTTAACAAAGATTTGATCAATGCTTCTAAAAGAAAACCTTTTTCCCGGAAAAAAGAGAGGGCCTTTAGTCCCTTCTTAACTTCTTCAGTCAAACGCTCTTGAACAATCTTAGGACCTAAAAGGGTAACCGTTGTCACACACCCTCTTTCCATATCTTGGCCAACCATTTTGCCATCTTTTTCTGCGTCTCCCAAATCCAGCAAGTCGTCTTGCAATTGAAAAGCATGGCCAAAGTGACGTCCAAACTTTTCTAACGCCAAATAAAGATCCTCTGAGGCGCCTACTAAAATTGCAGGAGCCACACAAATAAAGCGAAAAAAAGCCCCTGTTTTCAAATCATCTATAACAAGCGTCTCTTCCAAAGAAAGGCCCCCTACCTTTTCTGTTAGGTCCAGGACTTGTCCAGACATCATTCCCTGGCTTCCAACGGCTTCACACAAAGCAGAAATCAAATAGCAACAACGACCTGACATTCGATGATCTTCGAGTCTTGAAATCAGTTGAAACGCAATTGTAAGCAAGGCATTTCCAGCTAAAAGCGCTGTGCCATCATCAAAAACCCGATGACACGTGGGCCTCCCCCGCCGCAAAGGCGCATCATCCATACACGGCAAATCATCATGAAGAAGCGAATAAGCATGGACACATTCCACAGCGGCCGCCAAGTCTAAAAGTACCCGTTCTGGTAGATTTAATAATTCTCCAATGTGGAGGACCAAAAATGCTCTTAACCTTTTGCCTCCACTTAAAGCTCCATACGTCATCGCCTCTTTTAAACGTCTTGAAGGACTTGGAGTTTGTTGAAGAACACTTTCTAAATGGCGATTTACTTTTTCCTGTGCAACCGCGAGAGTCCCTTTTAAATCAGTCGCCTCTGAACGAATGTGCTTCTCCATAAAATTATTCAAAGCCATTTCTAAGCCTGTTCCTCTTCCTCAGGGAATGATTGTAAATTGACATCCCCTGTATCCTCTAAACTGATCTGTTCAACACGCATCTTAGCGTTTTTTAACTGTTCTTCACAAAATTTTCTGAGCACCGTACCTCGTTCGTAGGCCTGAATTGATTGGTCTAAAGGAATATCTCCAGACTCTAAGCGACGCACTAAATTTTCAAGCTCTGCCATCGCCTCTTCAAAAGTTTTTGGAAAAGTTTCTGCTGTGCGTTCTGTCATAGAAGATCCTTTAATGTTAAGGGCACTGGGGTGCCAGAAGCATAATTATAAAACCCTATCCCTGTTTTATACCCAAGAGTTCCATTCCTCACTAAGTTTTTTAACAAGTCACAAGGGCGGTATTTTTCATCCTGAAACCCTGCATATAAAACGCCCATAATGGAAAAGCAGGTGTCGAGACCTATAAAATCTGCGAGTTTAAGCGGCCCCATCGGATGATGTGTCCCCAATTCCATCCCTTTATCAATATCTTCAACTGTTGCAACACCTTCTGAGAACACAAAAATCGCTTCATTGATCATTGGCATTAAAATACGATTGATAATAAATCCTGGCCGGTCCCGTGACGTCACAGAAGTCTTTCCCAGGGACTCAACAAAACGATAAGCCACATCACACACGTCCTGTTCCGTCTTATCCCCAACAATGATTTCAACTAACGGCATTAAAGGAACCGGATTCATGAAATGAACCCCTAAGAAACGATGAGGATGCCCCGAAGATTCTCCTAATCCAGAAATTCCAATATAAGATGTATTGGATGCCAAAATAGCATTCTCTTTCAAATAAGGCGCCAGCTTTTCATAAACTTGTCCTTTTAAGGATTCATCTTCTTCAGGCACTGCTTCTATCACAAGATCACACACCCCAAGGCTTTCAACTGTCGTTTCCATTTTTAAACGGGAAAAAATTTGGTCTGGTGACTCAGAAATTTTTCCCTTTTCATGAAGTTTAGACAAACTTTTTTGGATTTCTTTTTGAGCCAGATCAAGCGCCTCTTCAGAAACATCGCTTAAGATCACAAAATATCCAGAAGTTGCCGCAACTTGGGCGATCCCACGCCCCATCTGCCCGCTACCAATAACACCAACAGATTTTAACATCATCCTCACACAGCCTCTGCTAGCTCAGGCAAGACATCAAATAAGTCACCTACTAAGCCATAATCTGCAATCTGAAAGATCGGGGCATCTGGGTCTTTGTTAATAGCAACAATGACTTTACTGTCTTTGATGCCTGCCAAATGTTGGATTGCTCCAGAAATACCAATAGCAATATAA